ATGACTCAGGCTGCGTGGTCATGAGTCATATCTGGACCACCACATAGCCAGGGAGTCAAGCCCCAGAGCCAAGCCTGTAAAACCCTTTTCAGTCTTCGAGTATGTGTATATCCCATTATGGTCCTTTGCTTACTTCTCTAGTCCGGCCTTTGCCATGATTCTGTGATGATCCCCTGGTTTCAACCACAGATCATTCCCCAGAGAAGGATGTCATGCTTGGTGAAGTGGGGGGCCAGCGGAAAAGGGAAGACCCTCGATGAGATGAACTGACACAGTGGCTGCAACGACGGGCTCAGGTCTAGCACCGATTGTGAGGCTGACGCATGACCAGGCGGTGTTTCGTACCATTGTCCGCGACTCAGCTGACTCCATTCAGCCTCTGCACTGCGTACATGCTGGTGGCCTCCCTCATCCTGGATGACAGCCTTTTGTTTTGTCATTGTCCTGTCTAAGACTTAGTAAAAGGGTCTCTGTAGAACATGGTTTGAAGCTGGTTTCTTTTTTCCCTCACTACGAGGTCAAGAGGTCTCTGGTGGCTGAAGGGCCAGTACAGAGTCCTGTGGTGGGGACTAACTGGTCACCCCCAGGTCAGCTCTGCTTCTTCCCGAGACGTGGCAGCTCAGGCCGACATTCTCCACCTTCCTTCACAACCAGGCTGACCTGGGACTGGGTTTTGCTAATGGATGTGAGGAGGGGTGATGGGTGGAACTTCCTGGCAGCTGTCTAAAGGAAATCCCCTGTTTAACACAGCCTCCTTGTAGGGAGTCCAGACTTTGTCTCTCTCCTCTCCAACGGTGGGTAAAAGGGGGATGACTGGTGGCTCAGTGGTCAAGTGCTCAGCTGCTAACCAGAGGGATGTGGTCATCTGCTTCCCTAAAGATCGACAGCCTTGGAAACCCTATGGGACAGTTCTACTCTGCCCTCTAGGGGCGCTGTGAGTCAGAACGGACTCAATGGCAATGGGTTATAAGTGTTCTTGGGAAAGAGGAGAGACACACAGGAGAAGTGCCTGCCATGAAAAGATGCCTCTGCAAACCAGGGAACACCAGGTGCTACCGGAGCTGAGAATAAGTAAGGCTCTCCCCCTAGAGCCTTCGGTGAGCACCTGGCCCGGCTTATAGCCTGGATTGGGACTTGCAGCCTGCGGAATTGTGAGACAGCACATGTGGGTCAGGCGCAGTTCGGCTTCCAAATTCCAAAGCTTTCGGCTGTGAGGCTTTGTGACAACATGATGAGTCACAGTATCTTTGTTCCCCACTGGTCCAGTGTCACAACAGAGTCCCCAAAGGACTTTCTTGGAAGATGGTGGTGTCTTGTCCACATGGGAGGCGTGACACCGTCATCCTGGAGCAGCTGGTAACTAGGGACTCAAATACTTTCCCGCTCTTTACTTTCTTCCCGGACCTTATTCAACAAGTTTTGATTTCATGACTCTGGGACTCTGGTCGTGCAGTGCCTAAGGCATTTGGCTGCTAACCAGAAGGTTGGTGGTTCAAACCCACCAGCTGCTCTGCAGAAGGAAGATGGGGGAATCTACTTCTGTAAATATTTACTGCCTCAGAAACCCAATGGAGGTCATTATGAGCCAGAATTGATTCGATGACAGTGAGTTTGGTTTTCCGGTTTGGGACATAGAACACTGCTCTATTGTGAGCTACCATCAAGTTGCTGAGAACAATGGTGACCCTGATTCACGGTGTGCCCATGCACAAATAAAGCGCTGCCGGCCTTGTGGCAACCCCTGACCAGCTGCTTATCTGCCAATGTCCCATTGTAACCACAGGGCTTCCACGGACAGATTTTTTGAAGCAATTGCCAAGCTTTTTTCCCTAGACTATCTTAGTCCGAAAGTCCACTGAACCTGTCAGTTTTTTGTACCGTGGTGGCTTAAGCAATGCTATGATGGGAAACCATGGCATTGGTATTGTTGCAGACTGGGTTCTGAAATAATGACTAGAAAGTCAGCTGTCACTCAGAGAGAAATTTATTAAGAGGATAGTAACGTTGCAAGATGGAGACACACGGGGCCAGAGGCAGTGCCATGTGTGTCTGCCCAAGCCTCACAGGCTAGGAGTTTTCACAGTAGTTTTTAAGGCCGTGGGGTACAAAAGACCTTGTGTAGGCAGGTGTACATAAAGTCCTGACCCTTTTGTGAGGGTCAGGAAGCAGAACAAGGTTGTGATAAATTCCTAAGCTAGACCTCAGCTTCCTCCAGGCCAGGTGCACTCACAGTCTGCTCTTTGCCCTTGGTTTGACTCTTGGTCTCGTCTTGCATCGGCCATCTTAGCTCATCAGGTGGTAAAGGAGGGCAGTGGTGTGCAGGCTCTAAAACTGGTTGACGCCGGCCACAGACAGTGAGCTGGAAGACACATCAAGAATGGCCTGTTACTAGGAAAGGCCATTTAAGTAGTGAATTTATATTTGCATTATTTCTTTTGCAGTGTCTCTTTAGTCTCATGATCTAAGGAATGCAATTGCCCTGTCCTGTGAGCTGTTCCTGTCTTGGTTTTATGACCTTCGGAATGTGATTGCCGGGGCAGGATTCTTATGTGATTATG